ACAGGCAGACTGGTCACCCACAGACAGACTGGTCACCCACAGGTAGACTGGTCACCCACAGACAGACTGGTCAACCACAGGTAGACCGGTCACCCACAGGCAGACTGGTCACCCACAGACAGACTGGTCACCCACAGACAGACTGGTCACCCACAGGTAGACCGGTCACCCACAGGCAGACTGGTCACCCACAGGCAGACTGGTGAGACTGGTCTCCCACAGGCAGACTGGGGTGGAGCTAGATGGGGGGCCAGGGGTGGCCATGGCAACAGCCAATTACTCACTGGATCACTTAGAATCAGAATCTGAAACAAGTTTATTGCCAAGTAGGTTTGCACTTACATGAATTTGACTTGGTGTTGTTGGTGCAGAAAAAAACAAAATAAGATAGAATATATATATATATATATAGACACAGAAGATATATAGACACAGTAGACTGTGCGTTAATGTAACGCAGAAATCCTGAATGGGGGAAAGAAACATTGTCCAGTGTCACGGGCGGCTCTTGGCCTTGTTGATAAGGCCGGTAGCAGATGGGAAAAAACAGTTTTTGTGATGGAAGGTTCTGGTCCTGATGGACGGATCAGCCACATCTTCCCTGCACGCCTCAGAGTCCTGGAGGCGTGCAGCTCCTGGAGAGATTGCAGCCAATCACCTTCTGTGCAGACCGGATGACACGCTGCAGTCTGCTCTTGTCCAGCGTACCAGATGGTGATGGAGGAAGTGAGGATGGACTCAGTGATGGAGGAGTAGAACTGCACCATCATTGTCCAGGCAGGTTGAATTTCTTCAGCTGCCGCAGGAAGTTCATCCTCTGCTGGGCTTTTTTGGACTAACTTATATTTAAAAGTATTTATTTATGTGCATGTGATAATATTTTTATCAGGTTTATTCTTCCTTTGCATTTTTTTACCCTATTTATTTCTGCCTGTCGTTTTTTTTTTCATTATTGCCTCAATATGCAAATGAGGAGGGGGCGTGTCTTAGAGAATCACCTTCTGCCCATTGGTTGGTTAGCGTTTTACTGCATCGGTGAATCTACAGGAGGAGAGGAGAGTCTGAAGTCAGCGGCCATTTCTCAATTCATAAGAATGCGAGTACAGACCCCGCCCACTTTCATCCAGACATTCAAAACAAATCTCTGCGCTCTGATTGGCCCGCCAGGCAGAAATAAATAGGGTAAAAAAAACACAAAGGAAGAATAAAACAGATGAAAATATTATATCAGCACATAAATAAATACTTAAAAAAATAAGTAATAAATAAAGTTGAAGATTATAACGGATAATAAATAAGGTAATTATTACAAAGGCGGCTAAATAAAGAAGCTAATTAAGATATTCATACATTTATGTCTCACTTTAAAATTTAATTTCTACGAACATTTATTTGTTTATTATATTTTGTGGGGCAATTAATTGTATGCTTATTTATTTATTGAGCATGTATTTATTGCTGTATATATTTTTAAATATGATAGAGTTGGTCCTCCATAGTAGCAACATTAATACTCTTTAGTGGAATATTCAAAACATTCTAATTTTTCATATATTAACATTTACTTGCCAACAGAAACACTTTAGTTAATGATGCACATCAACACACATTAAAGATGATAAAAAACAGAATTCCTGCTAGATTTCAGAACTAGATTTTGTGTTTTATGGGGTAAAGAGAAAATGACGTGTCTCTGAAAGTCATCTGTGAAATCATAGAAAAATAACTGCTTCATTAAACTTATTAAATAATTTATGTGGACATTAGTATTTGTAAATATCCATTTTATGCAGAATTATTATTGATAAAAGTAGGAAAGTAATGAAAATGGAAAAGATGTTTGCCTCAGAACTCCATACCTGAACCAATCAGCTTTTATCCAGAAGGCATGGATGTTTAAATATATGCATCTATTTTTCAGCAAAGGCTGTAGGAAAGTATAGTTAGTCTTTATTTAGAAAATATCATTAATTGTCCTGTTAGATCAGAGTAGATTGACCCTGAGGTTCTGCCTCCTTTCTACTGTGGGCCTCAGTGTTCACTGGCTATTTCCTGGTCAGCCTTATATACATTTTCTGACTACAGCTCTGTGGTGACACAACAAGCAGGTCTACATCGACTGTCACCAACCCATTAATCACCTAGAGTTATTGCCCCCCCTCCCCTTGTTCAGATCAGAAATAAATGTCTTAAAACAAAGTCTTTAATTCCAGTCACATAATCTGACACTGATATTGAAGAAGAATTCACCGTTAATTTGCATCCATGGAGTTTAATCGACTCGGCCAATCTTCAAAATAGAAAATAGAGAACTTCCAGTAAGGCAGGAAATGTCGAACATCCAAACCAGAACTTGTCTCTTTGGGCTCATATTAGTAGCCGGAGCAGAAGGTAAAAAGCTCCACACATCTAAAACCGTCACAAACAAGATGTGAGAAGAAGCAGAGCTCCTCCTCCATGAGGCACTGGATGCTGGAGGAGGGAATAATATATAGAGTTGATCAGCCGCACTTTTCAGTTGAGCAGGATCAGAGGATGTTTGGTCTTTATAGTGACCCCCTGTGGAAGCAGACTGCTGATGGATGAAGATGAGGGAAACCTGCTCAGAGTATGGTAATGAGTAGTAGTGCTGTGGGCCTCTTTCAGAATCGAACAAAGATCAAGATAAATTAGCTGGAAGCTAAGAAGAGGCTACTGTTCACTACTGTTCACTACTGATCACATGACCTCAGCAACATGTTTCACCACCTCTAGGAACCAATGAACATCCAGGTCTATATTTCAGCGCATATTTAGGCTCCACTGTAGAGCTAGAATCACAGTTCAGACTTTGAACTGAAAGGCAAAATCTATTATCATCTCTCTATAAACAGGGAAATCTAATCTTTAGTTAGCTTTACTGAACCAGTTATCTGGAAAAATATAGATTTTTCTACAAAAGCGTTAAACCACTGGTGGGAGTGTCTGCATAAGAAAAGGAGACAGAGTTAAGTTAGAGGTCATTTATTGTTCTCTCTGGACTCGACCAGAGCAAGAAGGCGAATGATATGCAGTAAAAAAAAGGCCTCGATCAGCCCAACAGTCAGAGCGACGCCTCAGTCCACAGGCACGGCGTCTGCTGCATCAGCGGTAGACTATACCTCCCTCCCTGGAGCCTCACAGTCACTCCTGCTCGGTCCCAGCTTCCCTCAGCTGCTCCTCTGATGCAGAGGGCTCAGCCACTTCGCTCGCTGCGTCGTCTTCGTTTACGTCGACCAGCAGGAATCTTTTATCATCCTGAGCCGAGCCGTCCGTCTGCGTTTGGTGGTTGGAGGTGGGATGCGCTCTTTTCTCCACAGTCGTGTCCCAGTCCTGGTCTGAAGGCTGAGGTAGACTGGCCAAAAGTTCCTAAACAGTCGACACATTCAGGTCAGAAAGGATCAATCAGTCTTCCTGCACCATGAGAACTTTAAACGCACCTTCTGCCTGGCCAGGTCATTGTCCCTCACGGCGCTGAGCAGGCTGTTTGTGAAGTTTGCAAGCTCCTGATATTTGACTTTTTGGTTCTCTAGCTCGTTTTCTAAGAACTGCACCTCCTCGTGCTGAAACAGAAGCGTTCAATGAGGCAAACGTTAATGCTGCTCTCACACTGCTTTACTTTCACATTTCCACACAAACACCTCCTTGATTTATTCTCAACGTGTTTCCACCTTGAATTCCAGCAGGTTCTGCATTTGCTCCAGGTCTGAAGCCATCAAGTCGCCGTCTTCATCCGCTTCTTCATCCTCATCGATCACTTCAACCTTCTGTCAAAAGACACAGATCACAACGATCGCTGAGGAAAGGTCCGCCATGCTGCCCCGCAGCGCAGCACGGCTTTACATCAACATTTTCAGGTTTTATGTTCCAGACTAAAACACCACTTCCCAGAGATTTAATGTAACAGACCTTAAAATAAGAAGGGCTGTTTGTGTTCAGTCTTCTTTTATAATCTAAGGCTGCGCTCAGACTGCAGAGATCCATTCATTTCCAAATATATGTGACGTATATGAGGGGAGTGGCGGCCTAGTGGGCAGGCTGTGGGAAGCCCACTCCCACAGCCTGCCACTCTGGGCTCCTGAGTGACTGTCATGAAAAGATCAGATCCAGGTCACTTAGAGTAAAGACTTCAGGCGGCTGAGGGAATGCAGCGTAACGCTTTAAGGAGACATTCATCTCTGAAATAAAGAGCAGCTCACAAGAGGCAGCCTGGAGGCCCAGGGTGTCTCTGGAGGATCTGGAAGGACTCACAGCTCAGGTGGAAGGATCTGTCAACACCTTCGCTTTTAGTCATGAAAAAAAAGAGAAAAACTTTGGCCGTATTTTCTAGGTTTAACTTAAAAAAAATATTTCAAAAATAAAAATGAAATAGAAATTCTGAAATGGTAAGGTTTTTCCAGATCAGGGCAAAACAAAAAAGCCTAAAACCAAACAAAGAGCTAGAGGTGAGTGGTCAATTATAGACCTATATCCAATCTTCCTTGCTGATCTAAAATCCTTGAGAAAGTAGTTGCCAAACAAGTTTGCGATCACTTCCACCATAATGAACTGTTTGAAGAGTTTCAGTCTGGCTTTAGAGCTCATCATAGCACTGAAACAGCTCTGGTGAAAGTCACTAATGATATTCTCATGGCCTCAGATAATGGACTTGTATCTGTGCTCGTCCTGTTGGATCTTAGTGCTGCATTTGATCCAGTTGATCATAATATTCTTTTAGAAAGACTTGAATATTTTGTTGGAATTAAAGGAACAGCTCTAGACTGGTTTAAATCTGATCTATCTGATCGAATTCAGTTTGTTCATGTTAATGACAGATCTTCCTCATGCTCAAAGGTTACCTGTGGAGTACCACAGGGATCAGTGCTAGGACCAATTCTCTTTACTTTATACATGCTCCCAATTGGTAGAATTATTAGACAGCATGGGATTAATTTCCACTGTTATGCTGATGATACCCAGCTATATCTGTCTATAATCCAGATGAAGCTAACCCATTACATAGATTACAGGCATGTCTGAAGACATAAAAACCTGGATGACTCTTAACTTTCTGCTTCTGAATGCAGACAAAACAGAAGTTATAGTCTTTGGACCAGAGTCTCTGAAAAAGAAGCTGATTAGTCAGTCACTTCATTTGGATGGGATTAAACTGATTTCAGATCATAAAGTAAAAAATCTTGGTGTTATTTTTGATCAGGACCTGTCATTTAAATCCCAGATGAAGAAGAGGTTTAAAACTTGGCTTAAAACTTTCCTTTTTTCTAGTTAGAGTGGCTCAGGTTATCCTGATCTATCTCTATAGTTCTGCTGCTATAGGCTTAGACTGCTGGAGGACATAGGGACCCCTTTTTCATCATTCTGCTTCATTCTATCTCTATTCTCCCACTCTGCAGAATCTGTTAGTTCAATCTCTAACGTTCTGCTCTCTCTGCTTTTTCTCATAGTAGCTTCATCTGGTCTGTTCCTGTTTGGCTGTGACTCCATCCTGGAGAGAAATATCAGCTGTGCTGCTGCCATCAACACCTTTGTTTCTAGATGTTGGAGCTTGGCCTGTTTTCCAGTGTAGTCCTGTTTCTCTGACTGTGACTAACTGGATGTGCTCTCTTCATCCTCTGACATGGGAGCTGGCTCGGAGCTCGTCTGCCTGGCTGTGTGTTTCCTGGACGGGGCCGCCTGTGGAGCTGGTTGACAGTTGCCTTTTGTATCTATGCTTCTTTTTCTATGTCTGCTTCTGTCTCCTTGAACTCCAGTGGGCCTCAGCAGATGGCCGCTCACACTGAGCCTGGTTCTGCTGGAGGTTTCTTCCTGTTCAAAGGGAGTTTTTCCTCTCCACTGTCGCTACAAGCAAGAGTCAATGAGTCGATGCAATCAGCTGGTTTTCCTTAGATAGAAAACTTTGAATTAATCTGACTGGATGATCTGGTGAACTGGAAAGTGACCTGAGATGACATGATGTGAATTGGAGCTATAGAAATAAACTGAATAGAATTGGATCAAAGCATAGTTGTGTTTTAGAGCACAGGTATAAAACATCTAGATCTGGAAGACCTGATGCTAACACATGCTCTGTGTTCAATCTGAGCTTCAGCCAGTCATGTAGTTTCTAGTTCTGCCCTGAGGACCTGCAACCTTCATTTCAATGAAATCCCTCCTGAGGTTGAAACTCTGAGACGTTTCCCTGTAATATCAAAGATTGTTGAAGTACCACATTATTGGCCAGCGGAGCAGCAGCGGACATCTCCGTTTCATCATCTCCGTCTCTGTGATGTGAGTCAACAGTCCCGTCTGCATCAGAGAAGAAAGGGTGAGTTCAGAGGAGTTGATGACGTGTTCCAGGTGTGCAAAGCAGCAGCCGGCTCACCTTCAGACATGCAGGCAGAGCTGCCATCATTCAGCTCGTCCGCCAGGTCGGGTGTTCTGAGCGGTTCTCCGTCAGGGCTAAGGGCGGAAGGAGACTGACTTCCTGGAGATGAGCTGGTGAATACAGCCGGCCCGCCTTTAGGAGGAGGGATTTCAATACCCATCAGACGGTACTTCCTCCGTCTGTTACTGATCCATGTCTGAAGAGTGAGAAAACAGCAGAGGACAGAAAGGAATCAGATTCCCAAAGAAAGATGCAGAAGAGAAACAACTGAAAGTCTCATTTCTTTATAAACACAATCATGCATGTTGAACTTAAAGCTCCGGAACACGTTTACATCAAAGTTCAAATAGATAAACAACTCGAAAGAATGAAGTGAGAAAGACAACAGAACAGGAACGTTTGTTTGTTTCTAACCTATTCAGACCTGAACCTTCCTGGATGAAAGGCTGTCAGGCTTCACTAACCTTTGCTGGTTTTATACCAGCAGATGCTTAGATGCCTCCATCTTTGGGAGTGGGAATGTAATGGGGGGTGAGAGAAGCACAGGTCGCCTATATTTAGCCTTTCCTACGGTGGCTCTGATGTATTACTGCATGCTTTTTAAAATACTTCATGTAAACAAGTAAGAAAACATCTGTAAACCCAGAAAAGCTTCTGGTCCCTCAGGTCCTCTGGTTCTGTCTATTCAGACTCATTAGACCAAAGCTAAATAAAAACAAGACAAACCAACCAAATGAAATCCATTCCTACTGAACCAAATGGTTGATGACTGAAGGTTGTGTCCTCTGAGCAGACAAAGCTAGCAGGGAATCTACTAAAGGAGGAGAGACTGATCTGGAAGATCTACCCTCAGTCTACATTCTGTGTCACAGCGTGGGCCACCAGGATCCTGGTTTCCACCAATCTACGCCGTTAAAGTTTGTCCTCTGTTACCTTGACTATTTCAGTGTCTACACTGAGCTGGTTGGCTGCAGCGGCGATCTTCTCTCTGCACACCGAGCCCAGACTGGTCATGCCTCGGTCCCAGTAGCGCTTCAGCTGGATGAGGTCGGCGTCGCTGAACTGAGTCCGATCCTGCAGCTAAGAGCAGGAAGGTTATTTACCATCAATTTAATAAACAGAATGAGACAAACGCTCTGCAATAACTGGCTTCCAGTAAATGATTGAACTTCTTAAAAAATATGAAAGTTTGAAACATCACAAGAGGTCCGGTGCCAAAGGAAAGGTTTAAAGGCGTTTCTAAGCAACCCTGAGATCTATGATGAAAAGGAAAACTGATCAGAGGTCAGACTGATGGAGGATCAGAGAAACCAGCAGCTTCTATGCAGACGCCGCGGCCCTCGGTCCGCATGTTCAACGGCTTCGGTTTGTTTGGAGACGTTTGCAAAGGAAAGACTCCTCCCTCTAAAAGGAACCAGCTAGCTCAGGCTAGCTCAGGCTAGCTCGGGCTAGCTCGGGCTAGCTCAGGCTAGTTAGCTCGTATCTAAGCAGGAAGGACAAGACTGACGTTGAGACATAAGCAGTAACCTGCAGCTTCTGCTGCTGTTCATCACAGCAGTTCTATGATTCAGATGATTTTAAATTAGTTGCTTCTTCAGTTTAGTGAAGAAATAAAGTTTTCAAATATTTTAGCAACGCTGATAACATTAACGAGTCAGACTCGTTTATACTCGTCAGCCAGTCGCAGATAGATGGATGATGACAGGAGGAGGAAGACAGTCTGTCAGAGGCGGCGCTGTGAGACGATGTCATCCAGTCTGTCTGGACTAGGGGTGGAACGATTCACAAAATCCACGGTTCG